CATTATCAGAAAGCCAATGGAAGTTGTGTGTGGCAAAATGGAAGGAAAGAATACATCCATAAAGAACAAAGACAATGTGGTAGATTATTGTGCCCTTAGGAGGATTATTCTACCCTTTTCTTGGAAGGCTGTCTCAAAACTTGCTCAGGTGAATGGCATCTGAGTGGAAGTGAAGAGTGTCACTTTCAGAGGAAGATTGTAAATCACCTTTAGTGCATTTAATTAGTGCTTAGGTTTATTTGGAATGAAAGATTCAAATTCTGCTCTTAAGTAATTATTATTATAAAAATGAGTTTTGAAAAAGTCAGGACAAAACAGTTTTAAACTATATAATTCCATAACAAAAGTGTTTATTATAGAGGACACTGAAGATATGGCAGGTAATTAGCCTAATTAGAGATTCTCATATTATTGTGGTTTGGCCTTTCTTCTACCTCCACTAAGTCACTTTAAAATGTGGAATTAACATAAAAGTGTTTCTATTTTACTTCAGCTTCACAAAAAATGTTTAGTTGCAGATTCTTATTATACAGCAGTGGTAATTTTGAAATTTGATTATTGATTCACACAAGGACAAATTTTATTTTAGGTTATTTTGGATATGTACATGAATTCCAGAAATACAGATTTCTTCATTTTTTATTCCGTACCTAATTATTTTTTACTTCAAAATAGTTCTTTTATAATAAGTCAGCCTTAGATATTGTTTTGAGCCAGGAAAAATCAAGCTGTATTCATTCTCCTTACTCATAAACCATTTACTGCACATCAGAAATGGTTTATCATATGTTTATTTTATTTCTAGATGTGAAGCATGTGGAATTACTTTTGAATTTTCTTTCCCTAAAGGTAAAACTGAGAAACCTATTCCCCTTAAAAAATATTTAAACTATTATAGAATAATTAGAAGGGAGGAAGGAAATTTACAGTGTTTTATTGTAAAGAATGTTAGAATTCAGATGAAAAATTTCCTGATGTCATAGCCTTTTCTATGCATTTTATATGTACCTTCAGTTATATATGTCCTTTCAATTTCATACGTACCATTTTATTTTATTAAGTTTTGTTTTGTTTTGCAAAACTTTATTGCCTTTTTATCCCCATTCTCCCCTACTTTGAGCCACCAGCAAACTGCTATCCTCAAGTACAAATCACTTGGATGCCAATTATCCAAAAAAAATTTTATCTAAATAATTCTATTTCATGTTTTAAAAAATCCTGTATTATATTTAGGCATTTGTCTTTAGTTAGATATCTTAAATTTTCAAAAGATATTTTTATGAATGTATTTTAAAATTTGCCAAATAGTCCTAGAAACAAGTTGAAAAATGGCACTCAAAATAACATGATTTTTTTTTAGAATTTATTTTTACAACTGTTTGTTACCCATAATAGTTAAGTAGGAAGGGTGAAGTAAATTTTGTAAAAGATGATTCTTCCTACATTTTAATGAGGGTGAATTTTAACATGTTTGCTATGCTTGAAAGTGGTAAAATTTTACGATTAGAAATGTTTCTTTGCTTATAAACATGTTTTTGAAAAGCGCAGCTATAAACATATTTATGTTTCGTCAAGCACATAGTTGCATTGCAAACTAGAGTTAAATAGTGCTATGTACTAAAGTTGTAAATATGTTTTGGACAACACCAAAAAATTAGACAATTTTTTGAAATAAAAAGTGTGGATTAAAACCCATTTAAAAAACCTATCAGCATATATAGATAAGTATTACATATATACATGGGCATATACATGTAAACACATACATGTGTGTATGACTCATCAGAATGTGGTTGATGCAGCTGTAAACCAATTGTATAAAAGGGAGCCCAAGAATGTGTCATTTCCTCAATTAGTATAAATGCCTGACCTGCCAGAAAACAACAAGCTATGACTCTGTGCATCATTTAGTAATATGGTGAATAATAGTGGTAAAAGTAGGCATCCTTGTCAAGTTCAAGATCATTTGGTGATTAATTGGAGGAATTTTGATCATATGACTTCATGAACTTTTCTAATTTGGGATATATATATATATATATATTTAATATATAACAGAAAAAATATTCTAAAAATTAAACAGAGGTGAAATTGTATGAGCAAAGTGGATAATGTACAAAACAACAAAGCCAAATATTTGACAACTATGAAACATTCTAGTCAAGTTTCTTAATCCACTTAACTACATTCCAAGAGATTGTGTTCTTTACCACAGTTTAATATCCAAATTTATAAAGCAAAACAAAACAAATACAATAATGCATAATTCAAGAATGGGACACAGTCTGAGAAATACATCGTCAAGCAATTTCGTTATTGTATGGACATCACAGAGTATACTTACACAAACCTAGATGGTGTAGCCTACTACCCAACTAGCCTATTCCTCTTAGGCTGAAAACCTGTACAGCATGTTACTCCACTGAACGCTGTAGGTAACTGCAACACAATGGTAAGTATTTGCAAATCTAAACATATGTAAAACCACAAAAACGACAGTAGGAGTATGAATAAAAAAATTAAAAAATGGCACACTTGCATAGGGCCATTACCATGAATGAAGATTGTGGGACTGGAAGCTGCTTTGGGTGTCAGTGAGTGGTGAGTGACTGTGAAGGCCTAGGACAACACTCTACACTACTACAGACTTCATAAACATTTGATAAGGTTTGGCTCTGTGTTCCCATCTAAATCTCATCTCAAATTGTAATCACCATACGTCAAGAGAGGGACCTAGTGGGAAGTGATTGGATTATGCCAGTGGTTTCCATTATGCTGTTCTCCTGATAGTGAGTTCTCACAAGATTTATTTTTTAAAATGTTTGGCAGTTCCTCGGTGCTCTCTCTCTCTCTCTCTTTCCTGCTGCCTTGTGAAGAAGGTGTCTGCTTTCCCTTTGCCTTCTGCCATAACTATAAGTTTCCTAAGACCTCCCCAGCCATGCAGAACTGTGAGTCAATTGAATCTGTTTTGTTTATAAATTACGCAGTCTCAGGTAGTATCTTTATAGCAGTCTGAGAACGGACTAATACAACACTGTGCACTTAGGCTACCCTAAATTTATAATAAAATATTTTTTATTTCTCCAATAACAAATTTTGCTTAGCTTACTGGAATGTTTTTATTTTGAAGCTTTTTCTAACTATTCTACTCTTTTCTAGTAAGATAGCTTAAAACATAAACAGCTTGCAGAGCTGTAGAAAAATATTACCTTACAAACAAATGAATGTTAAAAAATATTTTATTGAAGTTGAATAAAACTTTGAAGGACAAAGAAAGTGGCAAGTCACAAATAGTTTCTGGAGGTAATGGACTGAAAAACAAGAGGCCACGAACCAAAGCTGAAGCTAAGAAAAGATAGTGCACCAAGGGAGTTCGTGAAAAATGTCTTCGGTCAAAGGTTGATTAGTGTATGGAACAACAAGCAATTAGAAACAAAGAGTATCATTAAACAATCTGATCACTGCTCCTCAAATGGATGGGTATCACTGGACAGCCAAGTTTTTAATCCTCAGACTCTCACATATAAGCAGAAAGGCAAAAAGAAGAGATAAATTTAAGTTAAAATAATATAGTACACTCTTCAAGTGAGAGGTTGAATTTATCTTGCAAGAAGGCATGTGAGTTATGGTTCAGTATGTAGAGAACAGCAATTATGGAATAATAAAGTATGATTGTGATCAATAATCATTTTAAGATAAAAGCACCAACAAAATCAAGTATGCATAGAGTAGAGCTTGAATAGCTGTAAAGGATGCCATGAGAAATACTCTGAGACTTTGGCATCGTGGACAAACCCATCATCTCCCTGCAAGAACCAGCATTTCACCATTCATTTGCTTTTTGTTTTTTAATTGGCAAATAAAATTATATTTATTTACTCCGTATAATTTTATTTTGTCATTCCACAATGTATACATATATCAAAACGCCATTAATTTTAAATTTAAATTAAGATGACTTTACCATAGTCAAAAACTGCTTTACACATGATTTCACAGGAACATTACCTCTGAATAATGCTATAAATTCCAAGAAAAGAGTAGAGTCATGAGGAAAACAAATATGAGGAACAAGTTATAAAGGGATGTTTTGAATTTAAAGCATTAACTATGTGTCAGATATATAACTTCTGTAGGGCACCTTGGATGGCCAGGGAGAGTGGAATAAATGTTTGAGACATGATTGAAAGACCTATAAGAGTCAGGAATCGTAATGACAGCAATTTCACAATTCAGCATAAGGTTGTCTTTGAAAAGGATTTTCTCTTTATTTATTTTTTATTATACTTTAAATACTTAGGTACATGTGCAGAAAATGCAGGTTTGTTGCATAGGTATACACCTGACATGGTGGTTTGCTGCATCTGTCACCCTGTCATCTACATTAGGTATTTCTCTTTTTTTTTCCCCCATTTATTTATTTTATTGCATTTTAGGTTTTGGGGTACATGTGAAGAACATGCAAAATTGTTTCATAGGAACACACGTGGCAGTGTGATTTGCTGCCTTCCTCCCCATCACCTACATCTGGCATTTCTCCCCCTGCTATCTCTCCCCAGCTCCCCACCCCCCACCATCCCTCCCCTATTTCCCCACAACTGACCCCAGTGTGTAGTGCTCCCCTCCCTGTGTCCATGTGTTCTCATTGTTCAACACCCGCCTATGAGTGAGAATATGCAGTGTTTGATCTTCTGCTCTTCTGTCAGTTTGCTGAGAATGATTGTTTCCAGGTTCATCCATGTCCCTACAAAGGACCCAAACTTTACAAAAGAAGGTATTTCTCCTAATGCTATCCCTCCCCTAGCCCCCCAACCCGCAACAGGCCCTGGGTGTGTGACGTTCCCCTCCCTGTGTCTATGTGTTCTCATTGTTCAACTCCTACTTCTCAGTGAGAATATGTGGTGTTTGGTTTTCTGTTCTTGTGTTAGTTTGCTGAGAATGTTGGTTTCCAGCTTTATCCATGTCCCTGCAAAGGACGTGAATGCATCTGATAGCTGCGTAGTATTTCATGGTGTATGTGTGCCACATTGTCTTTATCCAGTCTATCATTGATGGACATTTGGGTTGTTTCCAAGTGAAAAGAACTTTCTAAGTTTAAAATCTTCGAAGGTTCTCACCAAAATACTGTAATATCTTTGTAAAGTGACTCTGTTACTCCTGATCTTATAATCTCAGAACAGGGTGATGAAAAAAATGTGTTAGGTAAGTCAGAAGGCAGTGCTTTCTCTACTTTCTAAGAATCTTGTGATTCACTTTCTTGTGACTCCTGCAATATCATGGAACACATGGATGCATTCAGAACACTGAAGTGTAGCAATTTTAACACGTTAGACTCATTCTTCCAGACAATTGCAGTTACACGGGCTTGACTAGGCTTCACCAACCAAATGCCCAGGATAAATTCAGGTGTTGGGGTAAGAGTAACTCCAAAGCTTTGATGTGTTTATTAGGTATGATTTCATAGATAGTTTTCCAGAGCTATGGGAAAAAAATGTTGAGAATTATGAAAATCCATTGAGAGACAATTGAGCAGGAAACACATATAAAATAACAGAGACAGAGTGGTTGAAAGAGGAAGGGTGATGGTACCTGGGGCTATACTCTGAGATAATTAAAAGACAATATGATGTCATTTTGATAAAGAGAGTACTACTTTAGTTCTAAATAACAATCCCAAACCAAGACCTGATAGACATACGGGAAAGACTTCCAAACCATGGGAAATGAAATTCTATTGGATGTAGCTCTTCTAATGAAAAGTTTCTTCAAAAATAATTTTCATTTAATGTATACTCAGTTATTACACAATAATTAGTGCATATCCACTATGGACCAGGTTTTCATGAGTGTATCAGGGAAATCATGCCTCATTGATGATCACAAGTGAGTAAAGCCAATGGCCTCCAAGCAGGTTAATGCAGTTTAAAACAGTGGCAGTTTCAATGCCAAAGGAAAACTGGTGAGCATTACATTATTGTTTTTTTTTTTTTTTTGCTACTTTTGCTATTAATATGCTTGGAAGTTTGGTCAATTTATTTTCACCTATGGGCATTCCATTTCTAAGAAGAGTAATGGCAAGCTACAGTCAGGAGGCTGCCCATCTAAAAATGAACATGTGAAGGGAGTAAAAATAACTATTTATAAAAGCGAGACAATAATGAACCCCACAGTTTTAGGAATGTCCACATGTGGGTAAGCAGAGTGTTGATTTGGTGTCACTTCAGAGAGCAGTCGAAGGAATTCAGGAAGAAGTTACAGGAAAGCATATTTTACATGAAAGTATTTTCTAAGAATTGGTGTTGACTAACAAAGGGTATTACCGAAATTATTTGAGTGAAAGGAATTGTATACTGATGTTAGGGTCGAAATCCATTTATAAATCCATTTATAAGAAGGCTTTACATTGAAGAGGTTAAGAGTATGTGTTAAAGTCAGACCTTGGCTCAAATGCCAAACTTGCTACCTATTAGCTTTCTCATCTCGGGCAATTTACTACTCTCTCTAAGCCTGAGTTCAATCATCTGTACAGCAAGGACAACAATGTCTGCTTGAGGAATTATGTGGATGGTTAAATAACATAAGATAGCAAGCGTGTTTAGAGCAGTTTCTGGTTGTGAAAAGATTTCTTATTCTACCCTTTTTAGCGTTAAAATGATACACCAATGTATAAACATATATTAAGGGATTATCTTGATTTCAGTAACTACAATTCTCATTATTATGCATAATCTATAGCTACATATTTCTTATTTGTTAAGGATAATATCAACGAAAGAAATTTTAGATTATCCACTTTAAAATTCTGGAAAAAGACTGATTCCAAAGAATGAAATTCATAAAAATATGAAAATATCAGCTTTATATATTTCTAGGAATTCCTACTCAGAATCTGATTTTTAGGTAATGATGAATTAAGTAATACTTTATATCACAAAAATATTATTTTTTGTGATACTGGAAAGATATTAGTTATAATTCAGGTACAAACCCATAAGACAGACAAAATGTAAACTGGATAAATGAATAAACTGATATGGAAAAAAAATCACTATGATCTGCACCATAAGAGGCATACAGTTTAAATTTACAAATTCATAAGGAAAATATGGCTATCATGGAATATTCAAATGTGTCCTGTGGTCATCAGCATACATTGGAAATATTGAAAGCAATGTTAATCTCAAATTAGTTAATGAAGAGGAGCTCTTTCCATTTTCTCTAACTGTGGCTGTGTCAATCAGGGTTGATCAGAAGAGCAGAATCACTATGTCTAAGATACAAAAAGGGATTTGTCAAATGATTACACTTCATACAATGGTGAGAATGGAGTAAACAGTCTGTGGTAGCAAACTATGCTTCTGTATTTATGCTGGGGACTGAAGTCAGCAAGGCAGGTAGTCAAAAGAGAGAGAATACTGTGAAATGGGGAAAATCAAGCAGGAACTTCCAGCAATGAGTTTAGACCCATAAACGTAGACATCAAATTTCTCACTGACTCTAGTTCTCCTATTGAACCTGGTTGGTATGGATTATTGAAATGATATTAAGTATTAATAAACTGACTTGGGGAAAATGACCTATTAATCATGTGAAACTTTCCTGTTCAAGAACCAGGCATGATTTTCTAACTGTTCAACTCTATTTTTGTCTATTAGGAGTGTTTTAATGTTTTCCTCCTATAGATCATGTACATTTCTCATAAATTTTACTCCTAAGTATTTAATAATCTTTGTTGATATTATAAATGGAGTCGCTAACATTATTTTCTCTAATTGGTTATTGTTTATATATAAGAATACTATTGGTTTCTGTACATTTGTTTGTGTTAATAAAATTTGCCAATTATAACTACTAAGGAAAATACATCAGAATGATTACTGGTTATATTGCCGTTAATTGTTTCTGATAATTGTTTTCACTGAATTTAAATAAATATAAAATTCTTAAGTTTTAAAGGAGGGTAAATTGCTATCTGACTTTTCTTAGTAGCATCACAATTAGTAATCTTAAAAATGTGTATTTTAAAATAGTAACTATTTTTTACCACAATTACATAAATAATTAAATAATAATGTTTAATGAACTTCCATATTTTTTACATTTTTCCAAGTTGAGAGTCTTAATTTTACATTTCTATTCTCACAGTAGTTTTTCATAATAATGTCTTTAAGTAACAAATATTTTTTAAATCAATGTTATTTCCTGACAATAAAGTTCCTTTTTATGTAATGTCTACTGAAAGATCTTCCCTCTTAGTTTGTCATTAATTTTACATGAAATAACTGACATCAGCTAGCTAAACCAGTAAATATTTCCAAATATATTATAAATTTTGAAGCATTATTTATTATAAAAATAACTTCAGATATTTTATTTAGATTCCGGAGGTTTAAAAGCAGAAAAGTACACCTTACTTTAATTTGACAATTACTTTCTTTGGTTGTGTTTTTTTTAAAGACTCAGTCCTAATAATCTTCCTTTCAAAATGTCTTCCAAATATAATATTTTATTCATAAGAAACAATTAATGTTTTTAATATTTTACAGACAAATCCAAAATCCCAAATTTTCACTCATTTTGAAAGTATTTTCCACTGAAAACATGTTAAACAATTCTCAGTACATCCAAACACCTCAGTTGCTAAGCAACTTTTAATGAATTTTCCACCAAAAAGGTTTCAGACCAGCTCTTCAACATATCAAATATTCACACAGCCCTTGATGCCTTTGCAAAATGTCCCTCTATTGTAGCATGAAAAAGTTACTGCAAATAATAAGTAGAAGTTACTGGTTACAGCTATAAAGTTAGGGGAGAAAGCATGCAAAAATCATTTTAGTTTGCTGTCTTTGGGGCTTGGCTTCTTTTATTACATTTTTACCTAAGAAAATGTAGATAATTGAACATCTATAAGGAAAGACTTTATTGTCTTAATGTAAGATACTTAATTGGAAATCATTTAAATGTAAATATATTATAAGGCTATTTGAAAATAAATATAGCATATCTTTTTATAGAAAGTGAATTTTTCAATAGAAGCGATTTTTCTTTTCTAATGTTAGTATTTTATACCACAGATATATATTTTGAAAAGATACCTATTCATTATATATTATCATTACATGCTAATATTACATATTTGCTATTCACTACTTTTAAATCAGATATATAAATTTACATTTAGCATAATAGTTTTTTAATAAGTTAAGGTTTAAATATTTTGTTTTAATAAATTTTGAACTCTAAGAATAATTCAGTTAATAATATTATTACTGACTTGCAAGAAATACATCTACAGTTTTAGAAATTTTTCTCATACGTCAATAAAAATGCATCATTCTTTAATGGAAGGAGAAGAAAATTAGTTTTGAAGCTATCATGTAATAGCTGATTGATTTTTGGACAAATAATATTGCTTACCATCAGTATCCTTATCAGTAACATTTTTTAAGTTGGAATAAGGATATTACGTTAAAAGGATTTAGTATTATTAAATAAAGTTATAGTCATAAGCATACTTTATAAACCACACTAATATATACATTATGTTTAAATTGTATAATATATTGGTTTTTCATTGAATTAATTACTAAATTACATTGTAACATTATAGTATTACATCATAAAAGTCATGAACATTTATGAATATATTAAGTTTCCACATATACTTATGAAAATGTCAAATAATTTTGCAACTGTATGTTCAGCAAAAAAGAATCCCTTCAATGCCTAGTTAGTTGCAGATTTTTAACACAAAGATATGTTGAATTTTCAAAAGGCTTTTCTGCATCTATTCAGATGCATATGTGGTTTTTTTTTTAGTTCTGTCTATGTGATCAATCACATTTATTGATTTGTATATGCTGAACCAACCTTGCATCCCAAGGATAAAGCCTGCTTGATCATAGTAGATTAGCTTTTTAATGTGATACTGGATATGGTTTGCTAATAACATGTTGAGGATTTCTACATTTATGTTCATCAAGAATATTGGCCTAAAGTTTTCTTTTTGTATTGAGTCTCTGCCAGGTTTTGGTATCAGGATGATGCTGGCCTCAAAAAATGAGTTGGGGAAGAATTCATCCTCTGCAATATTCTGGAAGAGTTTCAATAGGAATGGTAGCAGCTTTTCATCATATATCTCATTGAATTGGACTGGGATTCCATCTGGTTCTGGGCTTCTTTTGGCTGGTAAGCTTTTTATTACTGATTCAATTTTGGAACAAATTATTGATCAGTTCAGGAATTCAGTTTCTTCCTGATTCAATCTTGGCGGGCTCTTTGTGCCTAGAAACTTATACATTTTTTCTAGTTTTATAGTTTGTGTGCATAGAGGTGTTTGTGGTGGTCTCTGAGGGTGTTTTATATATCTGTGGGATCAGTGATAATGTTCCCTTTGTCACTTCTAGTTGGGTTTATTTGGATCTTCTCTCTCTTTTTTTGAATTAGCTAGTGGTCTGTTTATTTTATTAATGTTTTCAAAAAGCAACTCTTGGAATCATTGATCTTTCTATGGCTTTTTGTTTCTCAATGCCCTTCAGTTCAACTCTGATTTTGGTTATTTCTTGTCTTCTGCTAGCTTTGAGGTTACTCTTGTTTTTTTCATTCCTGTAGTTGTGTTGTTAGGTTGTTAATTTGAGACATTTCTAACTTTTCGAAGTAGGTGTTTAGTGCTATAAACTTCCCTCTTAACAATTCCTTGATTTTGTCTCAACGATTCTGGTATGTTGTGTTTTGTCCTCACTAGTTTGAAAGAATGTCTTGATTTCTGCCTTATTTTCATTATTTTCCCAAAAGTCTCTCAGGAGCAGGTACTTCAATTTCCATCTCATTTACAGTGTTGAGTATTTTTAAAGTATTGACTTCTATTTTTATTGCACTGTGGTCCAAGAGTAAGGTTGGTATGATTTCAGTTATTTTTAATCTGCAGAGGATATTTTATGTCCAATTGTGTGGTCAATTTTAGAGTACATGCCATGTGGTGATGTTGCAGAATGTGTATTCTGTTGTATTGGAGTGGAGAGTTCTATAGATCTCTATTAGGCCCATTTGGTCAAGTGTTTATTCAGATCATGAATATCTTTGTTAATTTTCTGCCCTAATAGTCTGCCTAATACTGTTAGTGGGTTGTTGAAGACTCCCACTATTACTATGTAGAAATCTAAGTCTTTTTGCAGGTCTCTAAGAATTTGTTTTATGAATCTGGGTTCTCTTATGCTGAGTGTATATATATGGAGAATAGTTAGAATTCTTGTTGAATTGGACACTTTACCATTATGTAATGCCCTTCTTTGTCATTTTTGATCTTCCTTGTTTTAAAGTCTGTTTTGTCAGAATTTGAAATTGCAACTGTTGATTTGTTTTCCTTTGGCTTGGTAGCATTTTCTCCATCCCTTTATTTTAATAAGCCTATGGATGTCACTGCATGTGAGATGGTTTTTGCAGACAGCATGCCATTGGGTCTTGTTTCTTGATGTAGCCTGCCTCTCTGTGACTTTTAATTGTGGCATCAGCCTGTTTATATTCAAGGTTAATATTGATATGTACTGTCATCATGTTGTTAGCAGGTTATTATGCAGACTCATTTGCTTGGTTGCTTTATAGTGTCTATAGGTTGTGTACTTAAGTATGTTTTTGTAGTGGCTGGTAATGGTCTTTCCTTTCCATTTATAGTGCTCCAATCAGGACCTCTTGTAAGAAGGTTCAATGATTACAAATTCCCTTAGCATTTGCTTGTCTGAAAAGGATCCTATTTCTCCTCCACATATGAAGCTTAGTTTGGCTAGAGATTAAATTTTTCACTGGAAATTCTTTTGTTTAAGAATACTGAATACAGGTCCCCAGTCTCTTCTTGCTTGTAGGTTTTCTACTGAATGCTTTGCTGTTAGCTTGATGGGGTTCCCTTTATAGGTGTGGTCCTGTCCCTTTTCTCCAGCATACTTCAACATTTTTTTTTCTTTCATTTTGACGCTGTAAAAATCTTGCTATTATATGTCTTGGGGATGGTATTCTTTAGTAGTATCTCTCAGGGGTTTCCTGCATTTCCTGAATTTGAATATGGGTCTCTCTAGTGAGGTTAAGGGTGATTTTTTCATGACGATATTCTGAAATAAGTTTTCTAAGTTGCCTGCATTCCCCCCATCTCTTCCAGCGATGGCAATGAGTCACAGATTTGGTTTCTTTACATGATCCCATATTTCACAAAGATTTCATTTGTTCTTTTTAATTTTTTTTTCTGACTTAGAAAAAACAGTCTTCAAGTTCTGGGATTCT